TATAGAACGCTTATGCGCTATGCTACGAATATAGGGTATCAACTTCCGAAATGCTCCCCCCTCCCCCCCCAACAAAAAAAAGTATGTGCCTTGTAAAAGTATTCCCAGCCTTGCCACAAAAAAGACCATCAGGTAAGACACACCGAGAGAGAGAGAGAGAGAGAGAGAGAGAGAGAGAGAGAGAGAGAGAGAGAGAGAGAGACCTCCAGTCTTCCCGCAAACAGGACCTTCAGGTAAGACACACAACCGCACACACACACACACAGAGAGAGAGAGAGAGAGAGAGAGAGAGAGAGAGAGAGAGAGAGAGAGAGAGGGCGGAATATTGCAGGGCGCACACCTGGAAACGAGCGCGACACTGCAGGCAGGCAAGCATGTGTTCTATTTGAATAGAACACCCATCTGTTCGAATAGAACAAACGTGCATACTATTTGAATAGAACATACGTGCGTACTATTTCAACGTGCGTACTATTCGGATTTCAGGGGGCGACTTCGAGAAATCGACTTTATCAGGGAAAGTTGAATAGTACATACGTGCGTTTTGTTCGGGGGAAGACTGTAGCGAGGCAGATATGGCAGTGGTGGAGTGTGGCATGGGGATACCTCACTGATACTGACCTCTTGCTCCTTGGTTAGTTGCTAAAGATCCCCCCCTCGTGGTCCCCTTTCCAGTCAAACCTCTTCCGATATACACGATTGGAGGTTCTCATGACAGCATGGCGAGCATGCTGCTCCCACGAATACAAAGAGCACACATTTGGGTTCCACCGGGCCAGGCAGCACGTTATAGACACAATCACGAAGCCTGGGTGCAACTTAAAGACTCTCTATCCACAGCAAACAGCAGGGCCCGACATAGCTAGTGACTTCTACAACTCTCTCTATAAATCCAGAGAAGGGGACCAGGATCCAAGACAGGTAAAGGAAGTTGGCCATAAGTTCTTAGTCTATCTGGACTGCACGGTGAAAGGGGAACAGGCAGAAATGTTGGACACCCCGCTTTCACAGGAAGAGTTAAGAGAGGCCTTAGATACAATGCCTCCAAATAAGACGCCAGGCAGGGATGGACTAACAAGAGAATTATGGCAAGAGTACTGGGAAATTCTGGGAGGGGAATACGAAGCTTTCTTAAACCAGGCATGGAACAACGAAGGCATGGGAATGGAATCCTCGACAGGGGTAGTTACCCTGCTATACAAGAAAGGAAACCCCAGAGACATCAGAAACTATAGACCGATTACACTCCTAACACTTACACACAAGATAGTGGCCAAAGCATTAGCGAATCGCTTGAGGCGGATAACAGGCAACTGCTTTCACTTGGACCAAACAGGATTCATCCCAGGGAGATTCATTTTAGACAACGTGATGACCCTATCAGAATCGATCAGGTACATAGCAAACAAAAGAATGAACGCGGCTATCCTCTTCTTTGACTTTGAGAAAGCATATAATCAGGTCAACTGGTCTTTTCTACAGCAATGTATGGAGAAAATGGGTGTAGGTCCTAACTTTCGCAAGTGGATAAGAGTATTATCTAACGACTCACACGGTCAAGTACAGGTCAACGGACACCTCTTGGAAAGGTATAAAATGACCAGATCAGTTAGGCAAGGTGACCCATTAGCTGCCCCTATTTTTCTCTTTATCATGGAAGCCATAGCTTCATTCCTTAGAAAGGATCCTTCACTTGACCGACTGATAGCTGAACCTGACCAGCAGGGGCGTATCATAGAACTACCCACCACGATACTATTCGCAGACGATCTCACAGTTCTCATCAGGGCAACTGACTCCTCATTTAAGGCACTCACAAAAGCAATGGAAGCGTTTCAGTTGGCATCGGAAATGAGAATTAACTGGCCCAAAACGATAGGTTGGTGGCTCATACACGACCACCAGCACCAGCAGCCCCAACCCCCGGACCATGGAGGAATGGAGTGGCTGCCCCCACATCAGCCTCTGAGGTATTTGGGGATMAGGCTAGCCGAYGAGGGYCCTCATCACTCCATGGYTTCGGATCAGATGACCAAAATGTTAGCTAAGTTGGAYGCATGGTCYAGTATCTATACCTCTCTGTTCGGGAGAGCCTTGGTTCTAAATGCTTCGATCTTTTCCATGTTATGGTATGCGGGCACCCTGTGGTCACCCCCAGGGCCCGCACTTAGGAAGCTCCGAAGGGTAGCGGCAGCCTATCTGTGGACAGGGAACCCGGCGAAGAACAACTTTATTTCCAAGGTAGCTTGGAAACAAGTAATACAAACAAAGAATCGGGGGGGCCTGGGTATCCATGACCCTGAACAGCATATTAAAGCACTGCAATCGAAATGGATTATCAAACTGGTAACGCAACCTCACTTACACTGGGTTCCCCTAGTAATGGAGCACATACGGGGGATGTCTAGGTATGCAACTCCCTCAAATATGGAGGTATTTTTTGGATATTCTGCAAAGGACGGGCAAAAAAGGGTAGAGCAAGGGAATGGAGGGGCGAGGAGGGAACTTCCTCCTCGTCATACTGGGCCCAAATTCTCAGGACATGGGAAGAGATATTTCCGGCTAGGGTACGGAAACCTAGATCTAAGGAGGAAGTCCTCCGACAACCCTTGTTTTGTAACCCCTGGTTAAAGGACTCCCAAGGAAAGCTGAGGACACTAACAGCTAGTGACACCAAATG